GGCGTGGTCCGTGGGCCAGTGCGGCGCTGCTCCATGGGTCCATTTTACAGCTGCAGAAACTGAGGCTCCGTGGAACCATTTCTTCAAGACGGTCCAAGAAACAAGTGGCAGAATTGGGGTTGAAATCGAAGACTTCAGACCCGTCCACCCTGCCAAAGGCTGTCGCGATAAATCAGCAAGGCTCACAGTAGGGCTTCAACAAGCTGCAGCTAATGCAGGACAGCGGGGACCCAGGGGAAATCTTGGGGTGAATTACCAGAGAGAAGAGGGATCTGCAGCTGCAGGGGAGTCCAGGGACCTGCGCTCGGGCTGGAGGTGGCGCTGCGCGGTCTCTGGGGACCTTAGCAGGGCCGTGGGAGGAGGGCTGAGAGCAGGTAGGACATGGACCGGTGGTCCTGGGCTGCAGGGCGGCTTCCCTTCCAGACGCGGGGACCAGAAGAAGCCACTGGGCCGCAGAGGCTCCTCAGGGCTGCGGTGGGAGGTCCCGGGCCGTTTTCCATGAGCTCTGCGGGGAGTGGCCCCCAAGGGCCTCGGGAGGCCAGAGGGTGGAGGACATCGGAAGGGCACTCGGCCAACCCAACCTACAGATGGGAGGACTGAGGGCTGCGAAGACAGAGCAACCCCGTTGGAGCCCTTTAGAGCAGGGACAGATTCCCTGCATCATGTCATTTAACCCGCACGGAAACCCTGCAGGGTGGACACGGTCCTCATCCGCGGGCCCGTCCCTCTTCTCAGTCCCCTCCGCTGCCGCCCACCAGTCCACCCGTCCACAAGCCCCTTCATCCGCCCACGGGAGCATCTGCCAAGGTCGTGGGGAGCCACAGGTCATCTACGGGGAGGGTTTCTGACAGTCCCCTCAGGTTGTAAGGGAGGTGACCAGGTCCTGTGGCCTAGTAGTTTCGTCCTGTGCCTTCTCCGTTGGCGACAGGCCCTGATGCACAAAGGCGCATTATGCGTGACAGTTGCCCACTGTGTTCAGGACAGTCACCTGCCGCCACCGGGGCCTGCAGCCCGGGACACCAGGCTGCGCCCCAGAGCGCAGGCGCGGGGCGGGCTCGGTTGGTCTAAGTCCGCGCGGATGTTCGCACCAGGATAAAATCACCCACGATGGGGCGTCGCTCTTGTTGAGCCACTGTGACTGTGTTCCGGGAAGGCAGGAGACAGACCTGAAGCTGCAGTGACGACAGCTTCTGGAGTCAGTGGGGGGGACCGAAGTCCCAGGTCCTGTGACAGCCAAGGACCAAGCAGGCAGGAGGCAGCGGAGAGGGACCGGCAGAGCCTGCCTTGGCGGCGGGCGGGAGGGGCGCCTGGGTGGGGCTAGGCCTGCCACTCAGGTCCTGGAGGTCAAGGTGACAACTTTGGGCTGGGTCCCGTGTAGATGGGGCCGCTGGGGGAAAGGCTGGGGGAGAAGGCGAAGGGCTCGCTCTGCTGGGGGAAACGGAGGGCGCAGAGGCTCCACCCACCCAGCGGCTTTCCTGGATCCCTACTATGTGCTGAGCACCTGCTAGTCCCTTTTCTTGCACTATCTCATTTAATCCTTGCCTGGATCCTGGGGAAGTGCCGTGGCCCCATTTTACAGATGGAGAAACCGAGGCCCATGAAAGTCTGAGCTGAGAAGTGGGAGGTGGGGTGGGGTGGGGGGCTGAGACTCACACCCTGGTCCCCCTGGGACAGGCCCGACCTGCCCAGCCGCTGACCCTTGTCTGTGCCCAACTCTTTTCAGACAATCGCTGCATGGACAGAAGGTTCCTCCCGGCCAGGTCCAAGCAGCTGATCGCTCTGGCCAGCTTCCCAGGGGCCGGCAACACGTGGGCCCGTCACCTCATCGAGCTGGCCACCGGCTTCTACACTGGCAGCTACTACTTTGACGGGTCCCTGTACAATAAAGGTGAGGAGACCGACTGGGGAGGCTCTCTGGGCTCCGGAAGGTCCCCACGAGGAGCATCGGCAGTGCCCCTCTCGGAGCGCCAACCGTGTGCCAGGCTCCTCGTGGAGGTTCAGAGCACCGCAGATGCTCTCCTGGCCCCTGTGCCTGGTTGTGTGGTCTGGTCTAACCCTGCACAGCAAACCTGGGTTGGGAGAGAGGAAATAACATGCCCAAAGTCACACAGTCCACCAGGGGTTACGCCCTATCCTTTCCTGATTCCAAAGCCCACGTCCTTGTTACTCTATCACAAGGGCAAAAAATCCCTAGGTGTCTTACTGGGGAAGTGAGTTTCTTTTGGCTGTGTGACCTTGGGCAAGTAACTGTACCTCTCTGATCCTGCATGACCATATACAAATAAGAGGTAACAATACTTACCTCATGAGGTTGTCAAAGGCAATAAGTTGGTACTTGCAACATGCTCAGCAATAGTAAACAGACTATGAGTATTATGGTCTGGATGCCAAGCACAGCTTGGGGCTGATGAGGAAACATCCCTGAGCCCTAGCTGGGGAGATCTCCGGGTGCATGTCTTTCCCAGGGAGAGAAGCAGAGGGGAGGCAGAGACTGGGGAGGTTGGAGTCGCAGGGCAGGAGGCCGGGGCCTGCCCTGGAACCACAGCTCGGTCATATTCATTGGCCTCTGGTGGACTTCAGCTGTCATTGGCTGAGTGCCTGTTATGTGCCAGGCTCCGTGATGAAGGCTCACATCAGGATTTGAACTCGGGCCCTGTGCTCCTACACCCAGGCTCTCCTGTCTTTTGGGAGATTTCTGGGAGGAGCCCAGGCAAATTCTGGAGCAGTGGCCAGAGGGGAAAGGCTCAGAGGAACCCACGGCTCAGCCACAACCTAACCCTCCCTCAGGATCGTTGAGGCCAAGGATCCACAGTGGCTTGATCTCCTGCGCCCTTTCCAACGGCCCCTGCTTCAGGGTGGTGTGACAAGGAGGATTCTGTTCTCCCTCAGAAACACAGTGACCGCCTCGTGGATCTGCCCGTGGAAAGCTCGACTTTCCGGGTGCACCGTGGTCTGTGTGCCCAGGGCTCGTGATCCCACAGCCTCCTGACCTCAGGGAGAGGGAACTGAATCCCTAGGCAGAGTCAGAGCCTCCAACTTTCCTTCTGAAAGTTCCACCGGAGGCTTCTCAGCAGTGAGATTTGGGGCAAGAGTCTCGACCTCTCAGAGTCTTAACTTTCTCATCTGGAAGATGGGGCGGTCAGTACTGGACCCAGATTTTCCAAAAGTGAGCCCACAGGCCTGTGAGATAAGAGGTGTGAGGCTTGGTATGGAACCTACATTGTCTTCCAAATGACCAGTGACAGGTGATCTCTGATGACCTGGGAATCACCAGGGGCCTTTCAAGTCCAAGGTCAGGCTGACCCCAGTCTGCTCATCAGGATCTTGGGAGCGTCCAGGGCTTGGTATGTTTAGACTGACCCCAGTCTCCCTACTTTTATATTCTAGAATCGCAGGAAGAGCAACTCATGGGGCAAGGTGTCTACTAAAATTGTAACTTAAAAAATAAAAAAGACTTAAAAGGAAATATAAACCCTCCCTGTCAACGCGTCCACCTGGAGCCGGGTCTTTTTGTTGTTTGGTACCAGGGAATGAACCCAGGGGCACTGGACCCCTGAGCCCCATCCCCAGCCCTATTTCGTATTTTATTTACAGACAGGGTCTCCCTGAGTGGCTTAGGGCCTCACTGTTGCTGAGGCTGGCCTTGAACTTGCGATCCTCCTGCCTCAGCCTCCCCAGTCGTTGGGACAACAGGCCTTTTTATCAGATGTCTCAGTCCCCCTGAGAAAGGCCGATGGTGGCTGGTCACAGTCAGCTGAGGTTTTGAATGACCCGCCCATTCACTGGGGGCTTCCCGGGGAGCTCATGTTGGCAGTTGGGTGCAGGCAGCGAAGACCCTGCCAATAGCGGCTGCTATGGCAGAGCCTGGCACATAGTAGGTGCTCCAGAATTGCAGGAGCAGGTGGCTGCGCAAAGGGATGGAGGGCGAGGATGCGCGGGGAGCGCAGAGGCAGGTGGGGGGCTTTGGCTCGGCTCCCCGGCCCCAACCTCTGGCCTCCGCCCAGGGTTCAAGGGCGAGCGCGACCACTGGCGCAGCGGGAGGACCATCTGCATCAAGACGCACGAGAGCGGCCAGAAGGAGATCGAGGCCTTCGATGCCGCCATCCTGCTCATCCGCAACCCCTACAAGGCGCTCATGGCCGAGTTCAACCGCAAGTACGGAGGCCACATTGGCTTTGCCGCCCACGCGCACTGGAAGGGCAAAGGTGAGGCCGGGCGCGCAGCGGGGCCGGGGTCTGGGACGGGGGCGGGTGGTCTCCTGTGCACGGACCCCAGAAGGACGTTCCTAAGAGCCCAGTGTCCTGTTGCTGTCCCCGAGTGCACAGAGCCAAGCTGCTCTGCCACCCACCGATCACCACACCCCCAGCGTCGGCCTCCACCAGCCCGGCACAGTGGGACAGGGCCGGCCTCTGCAGCCGGCCTCCTGGGCGGAAGTCCCAGCGCTACCCGTTCCTGGAGAGCTCCTTGACTACCCCGAACTCAGGCTGCACCTCTGCAAAGGGGCCATTAAATCGTGGTCTGGGCCTGGTGCCCTGGCTCACACCTCTCATCCCAGTGCCTCGGAGGCTGAGGCAGGAGGATGGCGAGTTCAAAGCCAGCCTCAGCAAAATCGAGGTGCTAAGCAACCAACTCAGGGAGACTCCTCTCTAAGTAAAATACAAAATACGGCTGGGGTGGGGCTCAGGCCATGAGCTCTTAAGAGCCCAGGTTCTCAGAGCATCATTTCATGAATTCTCCCAACAGTCCAATGTTGGGAGGCTCAGAGAGGTTAAGTGACTCTCCTCAGGTCACACAGCTGGGAAAGAAGTGCTGACCCCCAAGATGATCTACTGGTAGATGACAGGGCTATGTGGCTGTGTGGCTGAACATCTCAGCAAAGAGAGCCGCCCAGCCCCGACAGTGGCCTGAGATTGGAAGTCAGACCCAACTGCTGCCATCTTGAGTGTCTCCAACACTTCCAGGTCTTAAAACTCCAGACTGACAGTGTGATAATCCCTGTCACCATAGTCACTGCTACTGAGCCTTACTGAGAGTTGACCTCCTTCAACCCCTACAACAATGATCCCCCATTTTATAGCTGAGGTGATCCAAGTTCAGAGAGGGCAGGGAGCTTCCCAGAGGGAGAGGGAATGGGGGGGTCCCCGGTGGGTGAGTTCAGAGTCGCAGTGAGACCAGATGATCAGGTTCTGGAGCCCCTCTGGGCTCCGGCCTTCGGGCCCTGCACCTCGGTAATGGACCACAGATGGTCCTCAACTTACGATGGTTTGACTTACGATGGCCTGAGATCCGAGGGCTCGAGTCTGTCTTTCTGTTTCCTTAGAGTATTTGGTAAATTATGTGAGACGGTCAACAGTGCGTTCTAAGGCAGGCTTCACGTAGATGGTTGTGCCTGGCTGCGGGCTGAGCTGGCAGGTCTGGTGGGTCAGGGGACTAAGTGTGTTACCTGCAATATTTCCAATCTAGAATGGAGCCCCGGTCAGTGAGCTGTTGGTGGCTGTGAGCCACCTGGCCCAGAGCCGCTGACACCCACAGGTTCTCTGTGACTGTGAGCTGATGGGAGCTGGCCCCTGGTCCAGCCTCCAGGAACCAGGCAGCGGCCAGCCCAGCCCCTCCCCACAGAGCAGAGCAGAATACGGGGGTCGGCAGCTCCCTCCTCCACGTGGTCTCCGTGCAAAGCCTTGGCCTGCCTGACCAGCTGTGCCCCCCCGGGGGGCTGGCGTGTCCCTCTCCCAGCCCCACTACCCCTGTCGGTGAGGGCTAGAAGCTGGACAGTGGTGACATGTGTTCACTCGTCCCCAGGAGAAAAGAGGCCTCTGAATTATTTAACTGCCTGACCGTTGGGAGTGAACCCTGGTCCCAGGGCGACTGAGATGTCTGTGGGTGCACGTGGCAGTAGCGGGCCCCAGGGGACGGCCCCTGCTTGCCAGAGCCGGGGCAGATGGGGGAGATCACGGGATCCCTGGTGAGCAGCCTGGCCTGCCCGTCGGAACCCCCAGAGGAACTGGGAGGATCCCAGTGCCCAGGCTGCAGCCCTGAGCGTCACCCGGGTGCAGCAGAGACATCAGCCTATTTGAAAGCTTCTCAGTTCCTTCCGGAGAGCAGGGGGCTGACAACCCTGGGTTCTCTGTTATTAACAGGGAGACCGAGGCCAGTCCCTGGGACACAGTGTCAGGACTGTCCCCAGAGGGCATCTCTGTGGCTCAGACCGCCCTCACTCCCAGGCCACGGGGGGGGGGGGGGTTATCAAGAGAAGCCCCAGGGCCCTGAGCATTTGCTGTCTCATCTAAACCCTCCAGGAACCCGGGAAGGGACAAGGGCTCTTGTCATCACGCAGGTGGGCCACGTCACCTGGCTAAAGGCCCAGACGAGCGGAATTCAAACCAGGCCCTGCCCACCAGGCCTCCTGGTGCATCCAGAGGTCCTCCTCTCCCGGTTACCCGCCCACCCACCTTAGCTTCAGACAAGTCCCTAATTCCCAGAAGCCATCGCGCCTCTCTTTCCTAATTGAAAACAGCTGGGACCTTTAAATCACCGCTAAGGAAGGAATTGCGACAGGCTGAACCTAGAAGGCTGTGGTGGACAGGGGTCCTCCACACTCATCTCCTATCAGCCTAGGGTCCCACATCAGTCGGGGAAGAGGCTTCTCCCAACATCCCCTCCCAGGCCTGACCCCGATCTTCAAGCAAAGAGCCCCCCAAAGCGCAGTGCTCCCAGGCCCCACCCTGCGGATTCCTCTTCTGCCCTGGATCCAGAGTTTGAGACCCTTGCTCTTGAGTCCGCAGCAGCAACAGCTTGGCCAGGGAGCTCCTTAGATATGCAAATTCTCAGGCTCCGCCCAACTGCTCCTGGATCGGAAACTCTGGGAGTGGGCCTCGCCCTCTGCAGTTGTGGGCCCCGCCCTGGGCAGTTGGCCCCGCCCCTACAGATGGCCCCGCCCTCTGAAGTTGGCCCCGCCCTCCAGGAGTTACCGATGTGAACTCAGGCTTAGGCACCTCTCCTACTCAAAGTGCGGCCGCGGACCAGCAGCACCTACACCACCCAGGAGAGTTACCGACTAGTCTCAGGCAGGCCCCAGCCTCGTCTTAGGGGATCCGCATCTGCATTTTAACAAGATTCCCAAGTGCTTTGAGCTCAGTTGGAAGTTTGAGAATTGCTGCTTTAGGATGCGCTCGGTGTGGGAGGGGAGGGTCCCCCTTAAATGCAGAGGCCACCCAGCTGTTGTGCAGGCCCATTCCCCCCTTACCTTTGCCCCCTCCCAATGATGGCTGGATTGAGGCTCCTACGCCCCCCCCCTTTGGTTCCACAACATTAATTTTACAACCTCCCTGGAGCGAGTCCAAAGTAAAATTTTATGTGATCTGATTACACAAGGTGAATTGTCCTGGATCTGCTTAATGAAACAGAGACTGTGTTTAATGATTCCAGGGGGAACTAGGTAGAGGAAGCCATCCGTCAGGGCTGGTTCCTCCGTGGACAGTAAGATGGCCAGGCGCACCTGGGCAGGGATTCTGGTGGAACCCGCAGTCGTAAGGGGGGCCGGGTGGCTCAGTGTGCCTTTGTTGCTGGATTTGCAGGCGGTGATCAATGACCAGGAATCCTGAGTTAATTGAGGACTTTGGGTTTTAATTTTCTTCTTTTTCCCAGTGAAGTCACTTGGGAGCTTGGCCACAGGACAGGGTGCAGAGGACAGATGTGTGGCAGAAACAGCGTGGCTATGTGCTGAGCTTTGGGAGGGAGGCTCAGACCCACATGGCGGGGCATTGCGGGGGTCTCAAGAGATGCTGGGGGGACCAGCATCAGCTCAGATGACCAACGCTTACGGAGCACCTCCTGAGCCCCAGATGTTGTGCCGGGACCTTTGCAGACCTTACTCCACCCAATCTGCACCACGTCTGTAGGAGGCGGGCCTTATCTGGACTGCTGATTTGCAGATGGGCCTCAAGGAGATCTAATAATATCCTCAAGGTCACCCGGCTCAGGTGGAGAGGAACTGCGTGTGGAGCCCCCGGCCACCCATTCACAAAGTCACCTATGAATAGACCCCGTGTCCTAGGTGACAGGCTGAAGCTAAGGGCCCAGAGGGTGGAGTAGAAGACAGCTGCCCGGGACGCAGCACAAAAAAGGAAGGCCACAGCCCGTCACACCAGGTCCTCTTCCAGGGTTGGTGTGGAAGCTGGAGCCAGGTGCAGCCTGGGGTTGACGTGGGTTGAATCCTGCCTTGGATTCAAATCGCCTCATGTCTCTGAGCATCCTTTGCCTGGGTCTCAGGTGGGGCTAGCCATTCCTACTCCGCAGGCCGCTAGAGAGACAGGGTGAGATTGGGCAAGGTGCCCCGTGTAGCCCCTGACGTCCCCAGAGGCTCCAGCATGTCCATTCCCAGCTTTACCGGGGACAGAGGAGCCTGGTCTCCCCCAGAAGTTTGCAATCAGCAAGAACAGAATGTCCTCTCTGTCCCGCTGCATCCAAGGCCTGGGCACCCGGGCTGCCTGAGGGACCCACCACCATGCAGACCAGCCCCTCCTTTTTCTCCAGGGCCACCCTCAACCCCACCCCCACCCCTTGGCATCTCTCAGGGTGGTCAGAGGTGACAGGGTCTAGAAGTGAGGGTGTGGGGGGTGCTGGGTGGCATAGCAGTCATCTCGCAGTCACCTCCAGTGACCGGTGACCACAGCAGCTGTCCTGAATCACCAGGGGTGCTTGGAGGTGACTCAGGAGTGGGGAGATTCTGGGAAAGCAAAGCAGACCCTGCCACCGCTGGATCCTCCTTAATCACCAGCTGCATCTGGCCTTAACCATTGTAACAGTACGGGCCCAATTAGCCAGAGACATTGTAAATGATTTATTTTAAGAATAAAAACTCTCCCGTCACCACCATAAATATTTCTCAAACAGCCGTGGGACCCCAGGAGGGGACGGGGGCGCAGGAGTCTTCCACAAACTCCGATGTGTTCTGCAAAGGAAAAGGAGCCCTTTATCACGTTGTGAGGGTGGTTTTCGGATTTCAATTTAGTTCAACAGTCATTCACTTGGGCCCCTGCTGAGTCCCAGGCCCCGGGAGGTATCTAGGGTGAGGCTGCGGGTGCCTGGGAAAGAGCAGGGGCTGGAATCAGGCAGGCTTGATCTGGATGGTGCTTCTTTGCTGTGTGACCTTGAGCAAGTCGCTTCACCTCTCTGAGCCTCAGTCTCCTCCCTGGTGGTGAATGAACAGGAGTCCTGATTTCAGGGTAGTTGTTAGGGTTAAATGAGACAATGGGTAGCCATCACCCAGCAGGAGATTCGGATTTAGTTGAAGAACTAATAATAAATGTCCTCACACACATTCCCCCAGGGAGGTGCTGGGTGGCACTGAGCCCACAGGAAGCAGTAGTGCCTGTTTGGAACTTCAGAGCACCTGCCCTGTGGTTTTCCAGCTGGGCTCAGAGTTGAGGTGGAAGTTCCTTTTCTCTGTTCCCAGCATCCTCCTCTCACCTGAGAAGAGAACAGGGTAGCAGTCACAGCTGGTTCGAGCCTCCATGCCCACGGCTGCATGCGCTTCCTACTTCCTCTGTACAACAGCCCCATTATTACCCTCCGAGTAGGGGCTCGGGCCACATGGGACACGTCAGCCGCCGTTAAAAGCCCAGAACTTGAAGCCAGATTGCCTGAGCTCAGATCTGGCTCTGCTGGTTATTAGCTGAGTGACCCTGAGCAAACTACTTAATCTCTCTGTGCCTCAGTTTCCTCTCCTTTTGAATGAAAATGATGATGTCCAACCCCATAAGGTTGGGAGGATTACGTGGAGTTAATAGCTATATTAGCATAGCTATGAAAATACAATTATAGCCGGGCATGGTGGTGCTCGCCTGTCATCCCAGCAGCTAGGGAGGCTGAGGCAGGAGGATCGCCATTCAAAGCCATCCTCAGCAACTTAGAGGGGTACTAAGCAACTCAGTGAGACCCTGTCTCAAAATAAAATGCAAAATAGGGCTGGGGATGTGGCTCAGTGGCTGAGTGCCCCTGGGTTCAATCTCCTGTATCCCCCCCCAAAATATATATATATATATGATTGTAGGTATACACCATAATACATAATTGACATGTAATATAAGTTCTAGATAATTTATTAATGCATTTGATTCTATATTATAAATATATTATTTATATGTGATACACGGTTATTTATATATTACATATGTCACATATATCACATGTATTTATATATGTAGTATACTTCTATGTAATTTAATATGATATATAAATATGCATGTATATGTATAAAATATGCATATATCACATATATTATATATTAATCTTGTATAATTATGTAGTGTACACAATTTACATATTTCCTATCATATTTTCTATATTCATATATGTAGTGTAATGCGCATTTTCTGTCATCTATGATTGTGTATTTCTGTGTCGTGTGTCTCTTACGTTATCTTTCTATGCCGTAGTTACCCAGGTTTATACCTAGGGCTGTGCCTGGCCCGTGGTGACACCAAGTGGTGCCACCTTCCTCCGCGAGGAGGGCCAGAGGCGGTGCCAGGCCCAGGCCGAGGCGGGGGCGGGGCCAGCGCGGTCAAAGGCCGCTCCGCCCCGGGTCCTGCCTGACCGCTGGCTCCTCCTCTCCGCAGAGTGGCCGGAGTTCGTGCGCAACTACGCCCCCTGGTGGGCCACCCACACGCTGGACTGGCTCAAGTTCGGCAAGAAGGTGCTGGTGGTGCACTTCGAGGACCTGAAGCAGGACCTGTTCGTGCAGCTGGGCCGCATGGTGCGCCTGCTGGGCGTGGCGGTGCGGGAGGACCGGCTGCTGTGCGTGGAGAGCCAGAAGGACGGCAACTTCAAGCGCTCGGGGCTGCGCAAGCTCGAGTTCGACCCCTACACGGCCGACATGCAGCGCAGCATCTCGGCCTACATCAAGATGGTGGACGCGGCGCTCAAGGGCCGCAACCTCACGGGCGTCCCCGACGACTACTACCCGAGATGACGGGGCGCGGGGAGGGCGGCGGCCTGGCCACGCCCACTCACCTGGCCTCTCCGGTTGGGGACCGCCCCCGTGGCGGCCGCTGCTTGCCCTCGGCGAGCCTCCTGCATGACAGAGGAGGCTCGAGGGAACCGACTGTCCAGGTCCCCGCGCCCTCCGCACCCGCCCCTTCCCTCTTGGAGATGCGGGCTACCTGGCTTGGCGAGTTCTGGTCACAGGCACCAGCGTCTTGTGTCCCCCGTGTCCCTGCGACCACCACTCCGGGTTGCACTGGTGGGCTGCAGGGTTCACCGTTGTCGTGGAGATGAGCTGAGTGTCCTCCCCCGAGTGCCCGCTGATTGGGTCCTTGCCCGGATGGCTCACGGGGCAGAGCCTCGCTTTCTTCAGGAAGCACTTGCTGTGACATGGCTCAGGTCACCTCCTGTTTGGGAGAAAGACAGCTGGCCGCGTCCAGGAGGCCTTAGATGTCTGGGGTCTGGGTAGCTGGAGGAGAGCCCGTGCTCAAGCAGAATGGGCACCCCAGGCAGGGTCACCGGCTTCCTGAGCGCACCCCAGGCAGGTCACACTGTGGCCCGACCCCACCAGGGCTGGAGTCGCACCTCCTCTCCTCCCTCCCTGCCCAGCACCCTGTCTAGGAGGTGAACTCGGAGTCCTGGATCCCATTCCCAGGGCTCCCCAGGTACCCGACAGAAGACCCAGTGACCCAAGGTGGGGGGTCTCACACCTTGATCTTACACTGCCCTTGTGACCCCTACCACTGGGTCCCGTGCTATCCAGGTGAGAGCCCCAGGGGGCTCCAGATCAGAAGGAACTGCGCCTGGAAGAGATGCCCCTCCTTCCCAGGCACCGGCCTCCCCTTGACCACAGCCCAGTCGGACCCGCCTCCCCCGGGATCCTCCGAGGAAGGGGTCAGAATGGCCCATCATCTCCACCCTCCGCTGCTCTCTTGACACCAAACCAAAGGATTTCTGAGGACTTGAGTCACTGATCATTCATTGACCCGAGATCCCCTCCCGCCCCCCAGGTCGGATCCTTCGGCTTTACATCCTGTCCACAGGACCCTCCCACCACGTCCATGCAAAAGCCATAGGTCACTGCCTCTTCGCCATCCTGTCCAGGGCGGCCCCCCTGAGCCGCCCCTCTGAAGTCGAAGCTCGTTCCAAACAGCAAAGGGGCCTGGGGAAGGCAAGTGAAAAGAGATATATTTTTTTAAGAGGTCTATGACGAATACATTCCGCCCCCTGGACCCCGGCCACGCAGAGAGGGCACAGGAGTCGCACCTGATTCCCTTCTCTGGTTCCCATGACTGTAGGATCTGGGCCACCCCAGGGCCGGGCCAGGGGGCGAATTTCTAGTGTTCTTTCACAAAGCAGCAGCGGACTTGGCCTCCGCTCCCACTGGGAGGGCAGCTGTCTCTGGGAGATTCGGTCCAAGACCTGGACCAGCTCTTTGCCGGTGGTCACCTTGGACCACCCGCCTCTGTCTGAAGATTCCTCAGGTCAACACTATCATTAAATGAGAGTTTTGTTGATAATTCTACCACGTGGCAGAGTGTTGTGTTCATAGATGGGATGTTTGCTTGGGGTGTGTGTGTGTGTGTGTGTGTGTGTGTGTGTGTGTGACAGAGACAGGTAGACACAGTGACAGATTATCTGGGGCAAGGGTTGGTGTCTAATCCTGAGGTCACTGAGATAGATAGGGCGGGGAAGACAGAGCTCCGGGACGCGGCGTGAGGTTGCTCAGAGCTGAGGGCAGTGTCCCTCTCCTCAGGGCTTGGTCCTGGCTCCTGGACACCATTCTGTGCTCTGATCTGTGCCCCAGGCTACCCTGGGACCCTGTTGTTAAGCCAAGTCTGACCTGGTCACAGACAGAACCCAATCCAACACCCCGGAACCTGGCTCACAGACTGAGCCCTGATCCTGGGCACGTGCTGATCCATGATCTGGGTCTCCTACTGATCCCTTGTCCACACTCCACACGGAGTCTGACCCTAACCGTACCAAACCCTGACCCTGGTCATTGACTTCACTCCAACCTGGGTCGTCTGCCCAGAACCAGGGCTGACAGTGTCTCCTGACTGAGCCCTGATCTCTGTCACCTGAGCTCCGATTCCGGCCACAACCTCAACCCCTGTCCTGGTCCTGGAGGAGTCCTGACCTTGGTCACTCTGAGCTCTGGCCTGATCTCAGACCAAGCGTTGGCTCTGGTCTCAGGCTTGATCCCAGAACCCGTGTGCGGCCGATTCCCCTCCCACCCCCTATGCAGCCCGTTTCTCCCAGCCAGAAACCAGGGACGCCACGGAGCACCCAGCTGTCCTGGATTCTCCCCCGGGACCTCACGGATCCTGTGCCACATCCCGCTCCCCCTCCCCTTCATGGTGAACGACCGGAAGGTGGGAGGAGCTGGGGGCCAGGGGCCGGGTGAGATGGACAGGCTGGCGCCCTGCTCTGTCCAGTGTCTGCCTTTGCCACCTCCTTGGCAGCCCCCTGGCATAGATCTTTATGGCCAGCCTGGGAAGGACCTTGGTCCTGATTCTAGGGACCCACAGGCAGACCCCCCATCCCTGCAGAGCTCCCACTTAACCAGGTCCCGAGCGGATACGTGTACGGGGCCAGACAGCTTCGGGAAGATGCTCCTGGACAGAGAAGGGGAGGACGTGGGAGGCTCTTCATCTACCCTGAGCTGCTCAGAGCGGAGATCAACTCCCTTTTCTGGGGACACGGAGGCTCGTGTGGTCACTGGCCTGAGCACAGAGCTCAGCTGCTGGCCTCTCCTTCAAGGGCCTCAAAGCCCATCCCGTTTGCAGAAAGTGACAGTCCCCCTGTGTCCATGGAGGAAGAAAAGCTGCAGATCCCAGTGGTCCTCGGTGCAGGGACGCCCAGGCCCCACAGCGGCTGAGAGCTGCCATCTACTCCAGATTCTCTAGGAGCCCTGGAGGTCACTGTGAATGTCTCCAGGGGACATGTGGGAGGGGAGAGAGGATAGAGATGCTGGGGAAAGGTCCTGTGCGGACCCCTCCTCCTTCTGGGGGCCTGGCTCCGCTCCCCTCCCCTCCTCTGGTTCCTCCCCCCCCTTCTTTGCCCTCCTCCTCCCCCCCCCCCGCTCTCTCTCTCTCTGGCTCTTTCCTCCCCCCCCCCATCGCCCCGTCCCCGTGGTCTCCTCTCCATCTCTGTCTCTACACCCTGCCTCTGGATCCTGGGCTCTCGCCCACCCCTGCCGTCCTCTCATCCTGGGGAGCGGGGGCGACTCGGCGGGATGCAGACGCAGTGAGACAAATGGTACCCAGGCTGGTAACCAAGGAAGTGGTTTCCTTAGCAACAGAATCTGCAGGCACAGGCTGCGCTGCCCGGTCCCTTCACTACCATAGGGAGGGAGGAAGAGCCCACTAGATGTGGGGAGGGGGGCAGGAAGACAAAAGAGCCAAGAGGACCCCGAGGTCCTAGGCCAGGCAGTTTGGGGGGGATGGTATATCTTTGTCTGAGATGGAGATCACAGGGCAGGGAGTGGGCCAAGGAGGGGAAGATGTCCCTCTGATTATAGCCTCTGCTCCCAAGAGCTCATCCCGCAGGCAGGGGAGGGCTGGAAAGTAGGGAACAGACACAAAAGCCCTCCTTCAAGTCTCCCTTAGAAATTGGCCACAAGGTTGGGGGGTGGCGGGGGGACCAAGCACAGCCCTGTGGGCGGCCAGAGGCTCCGGGAAGTTGAGCGATCTGGTTTGAGACACAAAAGTTGGTGGCAATACCTGGATTATATTCTGGGAGAATCCAGAGACTGTTCAGAAGGTGAAAGAGGCAGAAGAGAATATGGAGAGAGAGAGAGAGAGAGAGAGAGAGAGAGAGAGAGGTGTAAATCATTGATCTGGCAGTTTTTCCCACCAGGAAAACAAAAATATGTTCCATTTTAGAGAAATGAGAAGGAGGAGGAAGGAAGCCACTGTGCCCTACTGTAGGAGAGCTCTTGCTGCTATAAATAACTGTTCCCAAAGAAAACATCTGTCAAGACGCATTCCCTTCCGGAGAGAAGAATCATGTCCCCCATCCGTGTTGTGTTGGTATTTAAATGACTCAGGGGGGTGCGCAGGGGAGGATGGGGACACGGAAAGTTGATGGATGCTACACGGAAGCCTTTTCCCCAAAAGCAGTTCAAGGTGCCGGCGACGAGGGCTGTGAATCCAGATGATGATGATGACATCCATCCTCGCGGAAGCAGCGTGTTTATTTACCCCATTTGCAGGTTTATCGACTCCCCCCAAGGTGACAGTCTGCAATCTGCCAGCGCACAGGGGGCGACCCAGGGAGAGGAGGACCCCAAGGAGGACAGGGGGGAGGAAATGATCGAACACTGATGCCCTCACCCCAGCCCCAGCCCCGCGGCCTCAAATCCAATTTCAGAAGGTGGCCGTGGCTCAGAGCAGGGCTCTCTCTCAGGCCACCGAGGGCCCGTTCAGTGAATGAGCATTGTGCAACAGAATGTGTTGCCGCAAAAATGACTTCTGTGCATTCTGGAAGAATCATTTGCTGAGCAACGAGGGAGAAGGAACAGGCAGAGCAAGTCACCCTGGGCCGTGACCAGAGCTTCAGGCGTTCTAAAGTGGGACCGAGAGGGAGGAGGAGAAATTCTCCTCCGAGACACGAGTTAGGCACCCAAGCCATCGCCACCATTCCCTGGGCTTCTAGAAATTGCCACATCCGGGCTTATTTAGAAATTCTGAGTGTTTTTTCCAAAAGATGGGGCTCAGCTAGACAGCTGTATTTTCCAGAGCGTTCCAGGTCCAAAAACCATTACGATACAAGAGTGATCCCGTAGATAACTACCAGCCCCAGCTAAGCCACCGTCACCACAGGACAAAGGATGGCTGCCATCTCTCACACCTCTTCAGGCATCATGACCAGCGCATTCCTCCAACCAGCACACAGTAGGCGCCGTATCTGGCACATAGTAGGTGCTAAGGAAACGCCTGCTGATTTTCTAAAGAAGCAAATCAAGGAATAGGAAAGATACTGAGTGAAGGGTCCCAGCCACCTGCCGCCACAGGCCTGAGCCAGTCCCCGAGCTGCCTTGGGTTCCATTCCCAGTGTTATTCAGCTGTTTCTACTCTCTCGCCCCTGCTTGGAGTCCCCCAGCCAGCGGTGCGGTACAGCTCACAAATCCTGGTCCTCAGGAGTCGCTGGTTCCCAAATTCTTACGCAGCGATGTCCCATGAGTAGCTCAAGGTCTATCCGAGAGGCAGTTTGCAGTATTTCAGCTCACTCCACGACCCACAGCACCCCGGGAAGCCCCTGCCTGGCTAAAGCTCGACCTCCCTAAACTCAGTTCAGCTCTTCCTCGTCTCAGCAGCCTCCCTGACCACAGAGACAGGTTCTGCTTCTCCTCTAACCACAGGGGAGTGAGAAACCATGATTACAGTGATGATCACAGCTAATAGTTATTAGATACTAAGTATGTGCCAGTACCATGTAGAATATCACCAAATTATGGCCAGAACCCCGGGAGACAAGAGACTCTTATTCTCCCATTTTGCACCTGAGAAACCAAAACTCAGAGAGGCAAAGCAATTTCCCCCGAGGTCACACAGCAGTGGAGAGGATGGAACTGGACTTTGAACTGGTTTCATAGTCTGCGTTTAACTCCTGTGCTACATCCTGGAGGATAAAATGAGTTCAGAGCCAAGAAAGGAAGGAGAGGGTCTGGCAAGACATCGGGAAGGGGTGCTGCCCAGGAAGCACCTAGCAAGGAGACTGCTATAGGGCTGGGGATAGAGCACCACCAAAACAGAAGTAGAATCTCAAATAGAGTTTGAGATTTTGCACCGCAGAGCTCTTTAGCAATGCCTGAAGATATTTGGGGTTTTCACTCCTGGAGGTGGAGGGGTGTTGCTGGCATGGGGCGGGGTTAGAAGCACAAGAAGTTGGGGGGGAGCTGAGATGGGGCCTCAAGCGGGAGCCTCAAGCAGGCCAGACTCTGGCTGGGAGGTTGGTTTACAGGTTCCCATGACGACGGCCAAGCAATGATCTTGGACTCCGCAGCTCAGTGGTTCTCTACAAATCCTTTCCTCTCGGCTTCAACCACCACCGCACCCCGACATCTGCCCCCCAGAGATGCAGGGTCAAGTCTGCCCGGGAAATACCGCCCAGGAAGGAAGTGCGGCCTCCACCCTTTCATCCGGACAATGGAAGGGAAAGACTTGGGTAGAGGAGGAAAAAATGGGGAAAAATCCCATCACCAGGAAGAGAAGGGGTGTTCCCAGACCAGCTTCGAAACCTAAGGAAAAGCCGGAATTGCCTCCCCAAGAAAAATGTGCGCATGCACGCAACGTGCTGCGTCTACAGCTTCAAGGAGCCTTTAGATCCCTTGGGGCCTAAATTATAGAGTTAGAAATCTAAATTGGTGATTCTCAAATTAGAGCAATTAGGAAACCCTATATCGCTGTGCGGGGTGGCCCACGCCTGTCATCCCAGCAGCTGGGGAGGCTGAGACAGGAGGATCCAGAGTTCAAAGGCAGCCTCAGCAAAAGGGAGGCCCTAAGCAGCTCAG